AAAAAAAATTAAAAAAATAAATTAGTGTAAAGAAAATTAAGAATGCTACCACTCAGGGAGTGAGCTCTCACCTGTTTCAGTGTTACTTCCAGAAGGAAACACTGAGGGCACAGGAGGGTTATCCGAGGCAAGTTAGTGAAGACACCAAAGAACAGGCAGTATTCATATGATAGAGGTGTTAAACTTCTCTCCCAGGCTTCAGGCAGTGATGTGTATCATCAGTACTATCATGGAGTCCTGCCCCTCCACCTCCAGCTTCTACAGCAGTGCCACAGCCAAGACCCAGCACAACGGCATGAACAACATCATTCGACTCTTCCTAAAGAAGGGACTGGTTAATGACCTGGCAAGAGTGCCTCACAGCCTGGACCTGTCCAGGTAAAATTATTCCTGAACTCCAGCTACAGGCTTTTGCCCTCTCTTTAGTCATGCTGCTTTTATTTCTTCATTTGCTTATATTTTCTGTATCCTCGTCAGATGAGTAGTGAGCCACCAATGTGATAGGAAAAGTTTGGATATAGGTGGGAACCTGAGTTCTTAGTATTGTGGTTAAGCAAGGCACTTGCCTTACATTAGGCCTTAGTTTTCTCATTTGCTGCAAACTCAAGAGTTGGACTATATGAATAATTTTTTTCCCAAGCTTCCCCCACCTTAATTAAAATAACCTATTATTATAAGATTATATGTGTATCATGAGAACTACAGATGAACAAAAATAGATACCATATTTCTGCCACTCAGATATCACTGTTACCTTACCACATATCTCTGAGTGGTTTTCTTCACATACATACAAAATGTATTTTTTTTTTACTAAAACGATACTATATATGCTGTTGTGTAACCTGGGTTGGGTTAGGGTTTTTTGGGTGTGTTTTTTTTTTTTTTTTTTCAGTTACTATCTCTACCTTCTGGTATAAGTAATTTTTCATCCTATATAATGCCCAAATCTATATTCAAAAATTTTTGTCCAAACCAGAATCTAGTTACAGACCTTGCATTACATCTGGTTATGTTCTCTGAATCTCTGTTATTCTAACACAGAACCTTAATTTTTTTAATCTTCATTTTATTTCTATTAGTAACACTAATTTATTGAGGTGATCAGGCCTGCTGTCCTACAGAATGTTTTGCCTTCTCGATTTGGTCCATTGCAGTGTCGTTTAACTTGTTCCTTTACTCCCTGTTTTCTCTAAACTTCTAATTAGATCTAGAAGCTTAATGGAGCAATTTAAAATTATTGGTTAAGATATATCATAAATGATACGTATCTCATACTCTGTCATGGGGAGACACATCTCTTTGAACTATCAAAAATCATGGTAAAATTGACTACTAGAGTGATAATCATCATCGTACTGTTATATTTTCCCCTTTCTTACTAGAAAGTAATCTGTTAGTATTTTGGCACTGTATAAATGTTTGATTTCCTGTCAGCCATATACCTAATTAATGATCTTAACACTAACTGATAATCCTCTCCTGTGCCAATTTCTTCGGGGATTATCAATGACAACTTTATAATTTCTGTCATTCCTTCTACACTATTAGCTCACATTTTTGTGTGACAAAAGTCCCTGTTCAAGGGGGTGGGGGGTCTGGTTACCCTGAAATACAGTTCCTACTGAAAAGGCAGGCTAAAAACTTTCTTTTCTTAAGTCACCAATTTTTAGAGTAATCAATAGATTTAATCACCACCTCAAATGCAACTTTCTCTGGCTTTCGATTTTCTATTTTCACTGATTTTTTTAATCAGTGATTGAATTATTTGGATCACTGCAGTCATTCTTTTTCATTATACATTTGGCCCATGGGGCCTCCTCAGGTTGACTTCTTTGTCCTTTTGATACAAGCTCATCAATTTTTTTAAAACTTTTAAAAATTTCAAACTCAGGAGTGAGCACTGTATGTTTCATCTAGATTAACCAGTGGTTATCATTTCTGTCCTATTTGCTTGAGTTCCCCCTTCCTTCTCCCTTTTAGGAGCTGAATCATTTGAAGTTCATTGCAAACAACATGATGCTTAACCTGTGAATACTTCAGCATGTGTCTCCTAAAAATAAACATTCCTTTACATGGCTAGAATATCATCACATCTAAGAAATTTTACCATTGATGTAACAGTACTCAATTTGTATGTCATATTCAAATATCCCCAGTTATTCTAAGTATTACACCTTGAGGGTAGAGTGTTTTGATCCAGGATCCAATGAGCATCACTAATTGCATTTGATTGTCACATGTCTCTTGTTATGACATTTGACTGTTTTGAAGAATCCAGAAGGCCAAATGTCTTGTAGAATATTCCATAGTCTGGATTTGTCCAATGCTTCCTTATATTTAGGTTCAGGTTAAACTTTCCAGCATGAATAGTACATAGGTGATGTTTGCCCTTATTGGTACATCACAGGAGACACATAATGCTAATTTGTCCCATTATTGGTAATGCTGAATTTGATCACATAGTTAAAGGTTAGCTGTCCCCCTTTGTACTTAGTAAGTTTTTTATGAGGTGATGCTTTGAGTTCACATGAAGATTATATGAATATCCTATGCCCTGAAGATTTTTAACTCCATAGTTTTAGCATTTATTGGTGATCTTTGCCTGGACCACTTATATTGCTGTTTGAAAAGTGATGATTTCTGACTTTCTAATTGCTGTTTATTAGCAGGCAGGCATTCTTTTATAGTGAAGATTTCCTTCTGCCTATTTGTATCCCTGTGGCTGCAGATTCTTTCTATATTTAATGTAATACCATTACCATCATTATTTTTGATACTTCAATGATCTCAAATTTGGCCTGTGGTAATGATGACCCATTAATTTTTTAAAGCCTCTGGCACAACAAGATGTCCCAGACTCACCTTGTACCCTCCATGCCCCATCCCTGGAATCAGTTACTCTGATGAGCCTTGGTTCCTTTTAGTGTGGATTTTTGTGCTAAGTCCATCTCTGTATCTTGCTTTATCTCAGTCCAAACATGGCTAACACAGTCAATGCTGCTTTGAAGCCTTTGGAAACACTTTCCCGAATTGTGAACCAGCCCAGTAGCCTTTTTGGCAGCAAGAGTGCTTCTAGCAAGAGCAAGTCTGAGCAGGATGCCCAAGGAGCTGCTCAGGACTCCAATAGCAACCAGCAGGACCCAGGTAGGGAATCAGAGCCAATGGACTGGAGAGCTGGCTGGGTGGGCATAGCTATTTTGTGGGCGCATCGCATCACAACTGTTCTGGCTTGGTATTGTTTCCCTGGGAACTTGCTGGCCTTCCAGAGATCTGTCATAGTGGCGTGGGAATCTGCCCCACAAAGAATTCCTTAAAATTGCAGCCTTATTTGGCTATCCTCACACGTAGCCTTGTCTTTTCCTTTGTCACCCATTCATTTATTTTCTGAGAACTTGTAAATTGCCCAGGGAAGGGACCTTATTGTCTTCATGCTTGCCTCATGGTGCCCTGCACATAGGCACCCTTTGATTATTTTGCTGGTTGGTTGATTGTTTCAGGCGAGCCTGGGGAAGCAGAAGTGCAGGAGGAGGATCATGATGTCACTCAGACAGAGGTGGCAGATGGGGATATCATGGATGGGGAGGCTGAAACCGACTCAGTGGTGATTGCTGGGCAGCCTGAGGTGCTCAGTTCACAAGAGATGCAGGTAGGGAGGCAGATCACCCAGCATACCCCTATTGCGGCGCTGAACCAAACCCCCAAGCGGTGTGGGTGGGTGAGTACTTTAGATCTTTGCCTCAATGCTGTCTGTTTTGCAGAGGAGCACAGATGATACGCTTAGTAGTAGATGCTCAGTAAATGTGTTTGAATTGTATTAAATGAGGGGCGGGGGCAGGGCCAGGATGCCATCCATGTACTATGAAATGGAATAGATCCCAAGAGGAAAACTTAGGCACAGGTGAAATGTGGAAGTAGAAAACTGGCCTGAGTCCTTTGGGCCCAAGCTCTTTGATTTATTTGGCTCTGGTCATTAATGGAAACTCCTTAACATCACTGTTGTGCCTATAGCACCTGGTCTCACTGGAGCATTCAAACGGCTATTTTCTAAAGACCCTAAAGAAAGCATTGTAATTTCTGGAGCTGCAGTGGTAAGAAATGGGGCCTACAGTCCTAAGCTGCTAGCTCTGAGGAGATCTGCATGTATTCCTGGATAGTATAACGACTAACCTGGTCTGAGGTAACTGGGATGAATCCATTTGAAGGACAGTCTGAGTGTGGATTGGCAGCACATGGTAGTTTCTGTGCTCTTAGCACCAAATGTGTGGTGTTTTATGCAACATGCTCTGTCACACGTTATCCTAGAAATATATACTCCCTTGCTGGCTTTTTTTAGGGTTTCCGTGCTAGCACAATGATAGACTTGTGTGCATCCATATATATGTTCTATTTCTCTCCAGGTTGAGAATGAGCTGGAGGACCTGATAGATGAGTTGCTTGAGAGGGATGGCGGATCTGGGAACAGTACAATTATAGGTGAGAGCCCCAGAACTGAGTATAGCCTCTTCCTTTGCCTCAGTCTCTCTTGGGAGGACCCTTTTTCTCATCATCTGCTTGCTCAGCTCTGCCTAAGGGCTCATAGCCAGCCTAGATTGCTGCTTGTCTTGATGTTGATGGTCTTACAGATGAGAAATTCACAAACCATCTACAGACCTGTGGTGGCAGGTCTGAAGCGTTGCCTGTGTGGGGGAGGTGGAGGGGGTGGCCATCAGTATAGATGATACATGAGGCACATCAAGAGTGTTATTCATGGAAGCCTAGAGGAGGCTTTAGAGGCTGTAGGGTGAGAAAGCGCTTTCCTTTCAGTTTTTCAGCAAAATCCAGGGGCTTTCCGCCTCTGAGTCTCAGTAGTGTAAAAAGAGTGATCATTCCCTAAGGGTGGCCCTTTTTACAACTCAAAGGGAAAACGGCAAAAGTACCCTACTGTCACCTGGTTCCAAGGGTCTATGTGTTACTTGTTTTTATTTTACTGATAAAGGAAATCAAAGGATAAACGGAAGTAGACATGTATTCTTAAATTTGACAAGGTTTTTTCACACCCATTATCCTCTGTGGTTTCACAATTAGTGGGATTGGCAGGGCAGATGTGATCATCCCATTTTACAGATGAGGAAACTGAGACTCAGACAGGTAAAGTGACTGGCCAAGCTCACCTAGCTAGTCGACAGCAGAGAACATAGGTCTTCTCCCTCATCCAAAAAAAAAAAAAAAAAAAGTGGATATCTGCTGGGTGTACATAGCTACTCTAGGCGCACCCAATCTGGAAAGGGAAGTCCTCTGTTGTTCAGTGAAGGCTCTGCTCTGTAACCTTCAGTGAGCAGAAGTGGAGAGGATGAATCACAAGAGGACGTGCTGATGGATGAAGCTCCTTCCAACCTCAGCCAAGCTTCCACCTTGCAGGCCAACCGAGAAGGTGAGAGTGCCGAGGCCAGAAAGGCCTCCCTTCTTGCCCTGCACGTCTGACAGACACTACACTAGGGTTTTCCTGGAGGCAGCTGCCCACATGTGCAGAATAAGGAAGCATCTGTCTGCATGCGCTGACATACACCATCCACTTTATCCTCAGCCAGTTTTTCAAATAACATGTTACTACTGCTTGCCCAAAAGTTTGTCACTTCTTACTTGGTTCGCTTTCTTCTCACCCACCTGCTATCATCGCTCCAGATTCCCTCTTACCAACAGGATGCAGTCAATAGCAAAGTAGGGCTGGAAAGGCAAGGGGGCACCAGCAGACTTGGCCAAGTCCTAGACCATGGCTCCTGAAGCACTACCCTGTAGCCAGCCTCCACATTCAGCCACCCTGTTCAGCGTGTTGATGCGTTGATTGGCACTCTCAGGAAATCAGGGCTGGCTCACTAAGTCTGTACATCACCCCAGATCTGGTTCTTCCTCTCCTAGAGTCAGATACCCCATCGCCTTCCCACTCAGTCTGCCGGCCTGCACAGTAGCCTGTTTGCTAGCTACTCAGTATAGTCCTCCAATGTGCTCCCTTTGTTTTAGATTCCATGAATATCCTGGACCCTGAGGATGAGGAGGAGCACACTCAGGAAGAGGACAGCAGTGGCAGTAACGAGGATGAGGATGATAGTCAGGATGAAGAGGAGGAGGAGGAGGAAGATGAGGAAGATGATCAGGTGAGGGGGGACTGTGTTTGGGCTGGTTCAGACAACCTCTTCCATGGGAACACAGAGCTGGAGAAAACCAACAGTCTGGGTTGCTAGCCTCAGCGCCTCCCTCCCTCATGTGCAAATGTGGCCATGACACCAGACTTCAGAAAACCCTTACCTCCAGCAATTCTCCATCTCCTATTTTCCCCTTAAGGAGGATGATGAAGGTGAAGAGGGAGATGAAGACGATGACGACGATGGCTCTGAAATGGAATTGGATGAGGATTACCCTGATATGAACGCTTCTCCCTTGGTCCGATTTGAGCGCTTTGACCGGGAGGATGATCTCATCATTGAGTTTGACAACATGTTCTCCAGTGCTAGTAAGATACAGGGGCTCAGCTGGGTTTTATCTCTTGATTCTTATACCCTTCTCTAGGGTAAGCCAAGCAGTGAACCAGAGCAGCTATCAATCTGATACAGACAGCACTTCTTTTCCTATGCTGACTTCCTGGGGCAAGGGATATCTGAATCCATCTCTCTCAATAAATGTATACTTAGAAGAAAGAATTGTGAGAGGCTGCTTTTGTTCTCTCCACCTCAGTAAACAGGCAGCCATTTTAGAGCCTGGACAACTTGATGATTTGCTTGAATTTTTTTTAAGTGAGACCAAGGCTGACTGCATCAGGCACCCATGTGCATGCTACAGTGACAGGGCAATCAATAACTCTTATGTCTGTAACACTGGATCTTGAGAGTTTGGATGAACACCTTTGAGCTTGGCATTGGGGAGTAGATTTGAGCACATTCACTCTGGTCATCAAGGATGCATCTTTTCGGAGGAGAGAGAGAATCTCTTCCCTTCTCCCCCATCAACGTCAAAGTTCGCTTTTAGCATCTAGTTCTTAAAATCAAGCTGTCTTGAGAAGGCAGGTCTTGACCCCAAATCACAAGCATGATATAGCAGAAAATACTGAACTGTTCTGGTCTGTTGTCTTGGCCAAGTAGTCTCTTACCTCTTTGAGCCTCAGTTTGTCACCTGTAAATGAAAAGTTTTAAAAGAAAAAAAATGGGTTGTATTACATAATTTTCAAGGTGCCTTCTATTCTGTGATTTTCTTTGCATTTTTGTGATTTCCATCAGTCTTCCTTTTGTTGAGCCTCCCTTCGTTTAGTAAATTAAACAAATATTTGAGGAGTGCCTACTGTTTCCTAGGTACTCGGGATACAGCAGTGAAAAAGAAAAGTCCTTTTCCGTGAAAGGAGCTTATGGTCTGTTAGGAATTATAAGTAAGCAGGCGTTACGTTGTAGTATGGGTAAGAAAACCCAGAGAAAAGGATTATTAAGCCAATCTGTAGAATCAGAGGAAGTGACATCTGGGCCAAGAACAAAAGAGCAGGTGAAGAAGGGGGAGCGGAGTCTTCGAGGTAGAGGGAGTAGCATGTTTCTGAGGGGCCTAGAAGCATCACTGGCTATAGTGTGGAGAATGGATTGGGAGAAGGTACTATTTAGGAGGCTGTTGAAATATCTAGGTAAGAGATGGTGGCATAAGCTATGGTAGTGTCAGTGATTATAGATGAGGCGTGGGAATGAGGGAGAAAGGACAAAGCTCAGGTTTCCGTGTGAGGAAGTAAGGCCCAGGAGACATGGTTCTGTTGGAACAACCATGGAAGAGATTTTTTTTGGCACTGACCCCTTTACATATTGTCCTTGCAGCAGACATCCCCCCATCCCCAGGAAATATCCCTACCACTCACCCACTGATGGTACGCCATGCAGACCACAGTTCTCTGACGTTGGGCAGTGGCTCCTCCACAACGCGTCTCACCCAGGGCATCGGGCGCAGTCAGAGGACCTTAAGGCAGCTGACGGCCAATACAGGCCATACCATTCACGTTCATTACCCTGGGAATCGCCAGCCCAACCCTCCTCTTATACTCCAGAGGTGAGTTACATTTGTCCCATTTCTTTGGATTGTATGTGCAGCCTTTTGGGGAATACTAAATTGTATAACACAGTCTTTTTGCTTAAGTGTCCTCCTATGCATACATTCAGCAATCAGTGAAGCATCTCATGTGCCAAGCACTTAACACTTTAAATGTAGACAGGACAGGATTTCTGCCCTCAGGCTTATGAGTTTAGTGGAAGAAACAATTTTAAAATGAGGGAAAAGGACATAGGTGTCATGATGGTCAATGTACAGGCTACAGTGGGTATACAAGAGTGATATACCCTAACACAGTGCCTGGCATTATCAATGACACAACTATGGAATAATATGCAGCCTCAGCCCAAATAAAGTTCGCAAACTAATGGAGTAGTTAGAAACGTAACTAAGATTTATGCCTAGTAGGGTACCTGGCTGGCTTAGTCAGAGGAGTATGCAGTTCTTGATCTTGGGGTCATGAGTTAGAACCCCATGATGGGTGTAGAGATTACTTAAACAAAAGTTTAAAAAAAAAAGATTTATGCTTAATGTGATCAGGTCCATAATAGTGTTAAGCATTTCCAAGAGGTTACAGAAAGGATCTCGCAATAACAGATTGCAGGACCCCCTATGAATTACAGTGACCATGGCACCCCACCATCACCCTACAGGTTGCTTGGTCCTTCTGCTGCTGCTGACATCCTTCAGCTGAGCAGCAGCCTTCCCCTACAAAGCCGTGGCCGAGCCCGCCTCCTGGTAGGCAATGATGATGTCCACATCATTGCCAGATCTGATGATGAACTGCTGGATGACTTTTTCCATGACCAGAGCACAGCTACCAGCCAAGCAGGCAAGTTTGTGTGGTAAAAGGGAGGGTACAGTTTTTCACATTCTACTCTTTCCTTGCTGAGGGAAGACAGAGCAATATCTGCCCTGCCTAGAGAAACCACATTTTATTGGAGCCAGAACCACTTGATAATTTAGCCAAGATGAACAAAACCTTCACTATCTCTGATACTTGTGATGTGCCAAACCTTGTGATGGACTTTGGGTCCTGTTAGAGAAATATGGCAATTTTTGGATCAGATGACATATGACCATGCCAAGAATCTCACTCTTTTGTTCCCCTACAGGGACCCTGTCCAGCATCCCCACAGCCCTGACCCGCTGGACAGAGGAATGCAAAGTTCTTGATGCTGAGAGCATGCATGACTGTGTTTCAGGTATGTGGCAGCTTGGTTATCTGAGCAGTAGTGCACCTTCCACAGCTGGGATGAGTGCATGGGAATTGTTGCCCTCATTCTCTGGCTGCAAGCTCTGCCTCGTGGCTACCTCCCCTGAGCAACCTCTGATTTTTGCCTCTTTGATCCAGTTGTTAAAGTGCCCATTGTTAATCACCTGGAATTCCTGAGGGATGAGGAGCTGGAAGAAAGGCGGGAGAAACGCAGGAAACAACTGGCTGAGGAAGAAACAAAGATAACTGACAAAGGCAAAGAAGATAAGGAAAACAGGGATCAGAGTGCACAGGTGATTTGCAAGGGCTGGGAGGATTCATCTTTGGCTGTGTCTTCCTTTACTTTCATATGGCTTTGGCATACATATAGCACCAGTCATTAAGGAATCCTGAGATGTTCACATTGAACCTGAGAAATGATTCATTCCAAATGCACCCTACATTCACATGTTTTTTAGGGGAAAGAATTCAAACCCAGAGGGAAAATTATTTCTCCACTGTCTCTTGCTGGGGAAAACTAGAGCAAGAACCAGAGTGGCTCCTGACTTACCAGTCACACTGTGTAGTCTCTACCTTCAGTGACTGCAGCTAGACAAGAAGAATGATTTTGATTATGCCCATGCTCTTGGTGGTTCGGTTGCACTTCACTTAGTGGAAGTGGATTGACTTACCAAGTGTGGGGAATCCTTACCAAGATGACCCCATTCCATCATTTGGGTAAGTTAGGATTCAGTCAGGAAATACTCGTGCTCTGAACCCCAGCACGACATGTCATTTTCTAAGGCTTGATTTCCAATTTGTAAAATCTCTAGCATGACTTTGGTTTGGAAAGAAACTACCTATTTTGAAATTTCTGGGAAGTTGAACAATACTAGCTTTAAAATATATGAAGTAAAAGCTCATAGAAATATGAAGAAATTGGGGCGCCTGGGTGGCTCAGTTGGTTAAGTGTCTGCCTTCAGCTCAGGTCATGATCCCAGGGTCCTGGGATCGAGCGCCACATCGGGCTTCCTGCTCAGGGGGAGGCCTGCTTCTCCCTCTCCCACTCCCCCTACTTGTGTTCCCTCTCTCGCTGTCTGTCAGATAAATAAAAATTTAAAAAAAAAAAAATACGAAAAAATTAAAAGACTTGAGTGAAAGACTTTATTATATCCCACTCAGCAGTTAGGTCAGATTGAGGATTTTGAAAATGTTCAGTTAGGATAACAAACTTGATTTAACAAATACTTTTGTATGAAAGTTTTACCTGATAAACAATAGCATTGTTTCAAACACATGAAAAGGGATAGAAAATAAGCAAGCCTGGCATATGATTTTAAAAGCTGGAGTGGACAATTGGGTCACCTGGATGGCTCAGTCAGTTGAGTGTCCAACTCTTGGTTTCGGCTCAGGTCGTGGTTTCGGGGTTGTAGGATGGAGCCCAGCACTCAGGGTAGAGTCTGCTTGTTCCTCTCCCTCCCACTTCTGCCCCTTCTTCCTCCACCCTCACTCACTGGTCTCTCTCTCAAGTAGATGAATGAATAAAATCTTAAACAAAAAAAGCTGGAGTGGACAAAATGAGCCCGAAGAAGGGAAATACATAGAAATGAAACTTTGAGGAATTCTTGCTGGTCTTATGATTGTATTTAGGTCATGTTCTCTGCCCAGCCCAACTCATTATTCAGTCAGCCTCCTGGCAGTTTTCCCTTGTTCCCAAGCCATCCTTCAACACAAGTATGTATTAGAGAAATTAGAGATACATTTGCACACTAAAATGTTCATCTTTCATCCAGGTCCTTGAACTCCTAGGTGGCTTATGTGGGTGGTGGGGAGAGGGTAGCTATTATAGTTGACCCCTGTCTTATGTGTTTGCGTAAGTCCCACATTGGTCTGTCCCTTCTTTTTCCAGTGTACTGCATCTAAGACAAATGACTCCACTGAACAGAACCTCTCAGGTAACTCTACCCCCCTTTTCACCTTCTTGCTAACTGGTTCTTTTTCCTGACCCTTTCAAGTAGCTGGCCCAGATGGGCTGAAGATGAACACTGGTGCTCTGTGGGATGAGGTAGTAGATTGTATAGTTTTAGGGTCATACCCCATCTTGGAGATAACTATACAGTCTACTGTCTTTCCCACGGTGGTACACTTCCCCTCCGACGTACTCTGTTCAGGGTCTCACTCTGATCATGCTGTGCTGCATTCTGGCATGTGTAGCCAGGCCATGTGTCCTACCCCTTTGGTGACCACCGTGGTGTGGTGCTGCTTCCTGAGAATATCTGATGGCGGTGGTTCCCAAATGCCAGCCCTCAGTGGAAATGAACAAAATAAAGAGGGTTTAATGAGTTTTTCAGAAAGCTGAATTTATTCAATTTAAAGGACTGGTTTTTAAGAGATTATGTCCTTCCTAGTTCTTTAGTATCAAAATATTTTTATTAAGTGATATTGACAGGATTCTTTCTTATTTGGCTAAACCTAGGTTTGGTAACCCAATGTTAGTCTCTTTCTATTTTTTCCTTTTTATATAAACTTTGTGAGTCTTTGAAATCTAAAAGTCTAGGGATGTTAGTCTATTTTTGGCATCTGTGGGCAAAATGTTATTACTACTGTATGTTTTGTATTCCTCCTTCTAATCTTAATGTCAGCTATTTCATGGTTCTAATAACTGATCCACGTGGTATTATGTCTCCCCCACCCCTATTTCCTCAGAACTTTCTTCTGTTTCCCTATGCCTTCTGTCTCCTTTGGCATTTGAATTGCAAAGTGACGATACTAAAGCCTACACAGTATTTTTTTTTTTTTTAAAGCAGTGTAAGTGGGTGGTAGGTGTCCTGGTGCCTTTAGCGAAAGGGTCTGTTATCAGGTAAAATGGCTTTTTGTCTGCTGCCCTTGCTAGAGGATTCTGCTCATGCCGGGGTGAGGTAGTAAGTTGTATTGTTGCGGGGTAGGGATTTTAGGCCCCAATTAGAAGATAACTATACAACTTACTACTTTCCCTGGTGTGGGCATATTCATACTTAGTCTTGGCACTGTTGCCTCCATCAGAGTTGTAGATGTTCCTGGGATAATCAGGACTGGAAGGGAGGTGGAAGGGGATAGGTGATATTTAGGGTGAGGCGAATAACATTATAAAGTGACTTGAACTCTTTCCCCTTCCACCCAGGGCACAGAAAGGATTTAATTCTTAGGATCTACAAAGATTCAGAACTCCAGTTCTTGAGACTAAGATAGCACTGTGCCTTAGCCCTCATCCAGGGTATACCAGATCAGCCACAAGCTGTTCCTAGGAACACTTGGGGGTTGGGGTGGGGAGGGGATACTTGTCAGGCCACATGTGCTGATTGAGTGGCTCCCTAGGTTCTTGGCTGATTGTCCCTTAACACCCCCATTGTTATTCTTTCCGAGAAAGATGGGACTCCTATGCCTGACAGCTACCCAACAACCCCATCTTCAACTGATGCAGCTACATCTGAGTCCAAGGACACCCTTGTCACTCTGCAGCCCTCACAACAGCAACAAACACTCCCACCCCCACCAGCCTTGGGAGAGATTCCTCAAGAGCTGCAGTCCCCAGCTGGAGAAGGGGGTAGCTCTACACAGCTATTGATGCCTGTAGAGCCAGAGGAATTGGGCCCCACAAGGCCAAGTGGAGAAGCAGAAACGACTCAGATGGAGTTGTCCCCAGCTCCTACTATAAGTGAGTAGAATTTCAAGGTTTGGGTGGTGGGTGAGAGGTGATATAACAGGAGGGAAGAATGGACATCTTTGGAGTTTCTCTTTACTCTCCTTAAATAATAGCAGCTCGGGTCCTCAGAGTAGGATCTCAGCTTGCACATTTGCTTTCTTAGCTAAAGTTGAGGTTTCTTTTCTGTGGACTCAAGTGATCATATATCTGAATGTCTAATGATACAGGTGATGATGCCAACAGTTTATTGAGATAATCACTTTTCCTGGGCTATCATGGCAGGCCTGTTACTTCTTTAAAAACAACCTTCCTGGGGCACCCAGCTGGCTCAGTTGGAAGAGCATGTAGCAACTCTTGATCTCGGGGTTGTGAGTTTGAGCCCAACATTGGGGGTAGAGATTACTTTAAAAAATAATAAAGAAGTAAACTTTGAAAAACAAAAACAACCCTCCAAAGTAGGTAGTGTTATCTCCATGAACAAACTGAAACGCATGTGAAATTACTAGCCCAAGACTATTCAGTAAGTGATTGAGCTAAGATAAAAATCCAGATCTCTGTGATTTTAAAGCTTGCTCTCCTTCAGCATCCTTCAGGGATGGCAAGCACATGACCCACCCACCCACACACAGCTCTCCCATCCTGGCAAACACGATTTATCTCATGGCACTATTTCCCACTGGTTTGAAGTGGGGCCTCAGAATTCTTCTCAGCAGTGTTCCAACAGGGTAAATTGAAACCTGTTTGCTATTCCTGCTCTGTACCATGCTGCCTGTGATTTGCTCTGGAAAAACCTTAAGGCGTAGGAGTTTTTTCTTTCAAGGAGCCGCCTTTAGATAAACAGAACCAGCATGCATGTACAAATGGTGCCTGCAGGGAATCTGAAAGTAGTGACAGACTCCCTTACCTGGGGTGCCTGGGGAAAGGTGTTTCACAGGCATAACGACACCATGAGGATTTGAGCTGAGCTTTATATAAAGCATATGAGATTGAAGGGGAATGTCAGGCCAGCAAGATGGTAGAGAAGTGAGAAGTCTAATCTGGCTGCATCTTAATTCGGCCCCCATCTTCTAGGCAGAGATCTAACCTCTCCATGTGACTTCCTCCTAGCCTCTCTTTCCCCAGAGAGAGCTGAAGATTCTGATGCGCTGACAGCTGTCAGCAGTCAACTGGAAGGCTCTCCCATGGACACCAGTAGCCTGGCTTCCTGTACCCTGGAGGAGGCTGTGGGTGACACCTCAGCAGCTGGCAGTTCTGAGCAACCCACAGCAGGCAGCTCCACTCCTGGGGATGCCCCACCTGTTGTGACAGAAGTGCAAAGCAGGGGCGATGGGTCAGGGGAACCTACCCAGCCCCCTGAGGACAGGTAAGCATTGTGTGAGTAAGAGGAAGGCAGGATGTGATGGTGGGTATTTCAAGCTACATGCATACTTGTTAACTCGTGCACATGCTTGCTGCACTGGGGAAATCAACCTGGCTTCTGTGAGAACTGGGTATTACAAGAGTATTTTATAAATGGGAAAACATTAATACCAAGAACAACCTGGAAATTATTTTCTTCAGCTCTCCCCCTGCATCCTCTGAGAGTTCCTCCACCAGAGATTCTGCTGTGGCCATTTCTGGAGCAGATTCCCGGGGAATCCTAGAAGAGCCACTGCCTTCAACAAGCAGTGAAGAAGAAGATCCCCTTGCAGGTGAGCTCCATGTGTGCTTAGGCCATCCTGGGGTTATTTAGGCTTCTAGTAGCTTTTGGCATGGAAATGTCCGCCAGTTAAATGGTTCCATCCAGATGGAAGGCAGCATACATATGGGAGGAGGACCAGCAGTAAGGGGGTGCTGATGCTGCATGATGGAATGAGCCCAGGCCATGGAGTCAAACAGATCTTAAGCTCGGGTTACCCCCTTTGCAGCCACCTACCTTCAGAACTTGGGACCATTACTTCTCTGATCCTCATCTGTTCTAAGGGGGGTTGGTAATAGCTGCATGGTAGGGTCTTGATGAAGATTAAGTGACAGGATACACACAGACTCTGGCACATAACAAGAGCTGTTCTGAGCCTAGGGAAGGTGAGTGGGCCTCTTTGTGTCTTCTGTCCTTTGCATGCATTGAGGACAAACAAGGCTCGTTTCCCTCAAACAAGGCCATGGGTCTCTACTCCCAAGTACATCTTAAGTGTTGGTAGAGGTGGGAGTCCCTTCACATTTTGCGCCTCCCCTCAGGTATCAGTCTACCCGAAGGTGTGGACCCCTCTTTTCTGGCTGCTCTGCCTGATGACATCCGCCGGGAAGTCCTGCAGAACCAACTGGGTATCCGTCCACCAACTCGGACTGCCCCTTCAACAAATAGCTCAGCTCCTGCAGTGGTGGGGAATCCTGGTGTGACCGAAGTGAGCCCTGAGTTCCTGGCTGCCCTGCCTCCAGCCATCCAGGAGGAAGTATGTGAGCAGGGAGCTGGTTGGGGCTAGGCTGCCTAGCTGTGGGTATGCCCCCATTGACTTCTTCTGCTCCGTAGGTGCTGGCACAGCAGAGAGCTGAGCAACAGCGACGGGAACTGGCACAGAATGCCAGCTCAGACACCCCCATGGACCCTGTGACCTTCATCCAGACCCTGCCCTCAGACCTGCGCCGTAGTGTCCTAGAGGACATGGAGGACAGTGTGTTGGCTGTGATGCCACCTGACATTGCCGCTGAGGCTCAAGCCCTGAGGCGAGAGCAGGAAGCCCGGCAGCGACAACTCATGCATGAGCGGCTCTTTGGCCACAGCAGCACCTCTGCACTCTCTGCCATCCTCCGAAGCCCGGGTACAGAGGGAGGCAAGTGGGAGGGCTCTGAAATGTTTGGCTTTGGCCACATGAGGCTTTGTTCCCCTTTCTGTTATTGGACCCAGCACACCACCCACCTCCCCAGTTTCAGTTTCCTTTTTCTTTCCTTCCAGCTTTCACCAGTCGCCTCAGTGGCAACCGTGGAGTCCAGTACACTCGCCTTGCTGTGCAGAGAGGTGGCACCTTCCAGATGGGGGGTAGCAGCAGCCATAACAGGTACCTTTGGTTTTTTTGACCTTGCCATACCACTTCTCATATCTATTGGCTAGTCCAGCTTTCTTAATTTATAGGTGGAGAGACTGGATGACCTCTCTAGGATATTGCCTTGAATGAGTAGGGGAGCCAGATCTTTGGACTCCCCCTTCAGAAAGCCACACTTTTGGGTTGGTGTAGCTACCGTAGACCATAATCACAAAGTAAGGCAGACTGGCAATAGGTGCTAGCTGTGGTTGTAATAAGCAAAGCCACTTGAGCTTATAACATAGGCTGTGGAAGAAGAGTTCATGACTACCCAAGCTGAAGCTGACTGCACCCAACATGCCAAAATGTAAAGGGAGTGATCAGTCCCAATGAGGCAGGCAAATCCCTGGTAGTCTAGATAAGGCAGGAAATAAGCATTGGGGGTTTTTTTTTAAGACCTTAGGTGCAGTCTGGTTTTACCAGTTGATAATACAGACATTGTGTGATGTGTAGGGCAAGTCACTTAACCTATTAGAGCCTCTTGTTCATCATCTCAAAAATAGGCAATTCTTTTGTCTTACAGACTGTAGAGTACTTGATACCCAGTAGATACACAAGAGGGCAGCTCTTGTTATTAAGAACCCTTAGACTTAGACACTCTCCCTTCTTATGCCTCCTTGGAGGTATGCAGCTCATTCCTCTTCCCTAGGCCTATACCTAATCCCAGAGCTCTAGCTAAAGTGTTACCTAGAAACCATGCTCTGTTCCAGGCCTTCTGGCAGTAATGTGGATACTCTCCTTCGTCTCCGAGGACGGCTCCTCCTGGACCATGAAGCCCTATCCTGTCTCCTGGTCCTACTTTTTGTGGATGAGCCAAAGCTTAATACTAGCCGTCTACACCGAGTACTGAGAAATCTCTGCTACCATGCCCAGACCCGCCACTGGGTCATCCGCAGTCTGCTCTCCATTTTGCAGCGCAGCAGTGAGAGTGAGCTATGCATTGAAACACCCAAGCTCTCCTCAAGTGAGGAGAAGGGCAAAAAGTCAAGCAAAAGCTGTGGGTCAAGCAGCCATGAGAACCGGCCCCTGGACCTTCTACACAAGATGGAGTCTAAGAGCTCCAACCAGCTTTCCTGGCTGTCAGTATCCATGGATGCAGCCCTAGGCTGCAGGACTAATATATTCCAGATCCAACGTTCAGGGGGTCGCAAACATACCGAGAAGCATGCAAGCAGTGGCTCCACTGTCCATATCCACCCCCAGGCTGCTCCTGTTGTCTGCAGACACGTTCTGGACACGCTCATTCAGTTGGCCAAGGTGAGGAGCTTGAACCCAACCCTGGGGGATGGAAGAGAGGTCGCAGCCACAGCCTAGATGAAATCTGAACTCTAAGAAAACTAGCAGGTCTTTCTTCACTGTTAGTGCTGAAGCCTGTATTGTTTCTGGGAGTTGTCCAGTATATAATTTTGTGGGGTTTTTACTTTCACTTTTTATAATTTTTGTGCATTACCGCATTTGGTTATCAAAACAACTCTCAGTGGTCTGTATGATCCCCATTCTACAGATGAAGAAGCTAAGGTACAGAAATTTTTAGTGGCTTTGTCATGGGCTAGTAAGTGATGGAGCTGGGCCTAGAACTTAGGTCAGTCTTCTTTTTTTAAGAATTTTTTCATTTATTAGAAAGAGCACGAGTGGGGAGGCATAGAGAGAGAAGCAGACTTCCCACTGAGCAGGGAGCCCAACGTGGGGCTCGATCCCAGGACCCTAGGATCATGACCTGAGCTAAAGGCAGACACTTAACCGATTGAGCCATCCAGGCACCCCTGTTCAGTTTTCTTTTTAATAATCAGTGCTGCCATTTGTTGAGGGCCTGCCTTGTGCCAGGTACTATACATTATCCCCTTTAATCTCGACAATTTTTTTTTTT